TCTAGTAAATGCAAAGTATCTTATTTTCAGAGAATAAACTTTACTTTTCTTTTTCTAAAAATCTGAAAAACGTGAAAAACTTAAGAAACACATTCAGAATACTAATTGCACAAATTTTCAATTTAAAAAGATTCGTGAAGCTAAAAAATTAAAGAATGACAAATTTATTAGATTGCATTAATTTATTGGACATGATATTAGACATTGAAATACCTATCCGTGAATAAATTTAGATATACGCAACTGACTTTTCGCATGAAATTTCTTGGATCGTTCTGACAAAGCCGAGAGAGCGACTTCTACGAGTACACATGTACACAAACTCGAGGATCTCACATGGCATTGACGAAAGAAGGAGTAAGCGTTACAAACATGCAAGGGCTCGGTGCGGCTTTTCAGTTTTCGTCGTACTTGATCGTCACTATACGTGGATGTAGCAGCGTGTCAATAGAAGTTACAAGGCTTGTAAATGTATAAAGGAAAAGCAACAGCACAACAACCGGGAGATACGGTCGCAGCGGATATTATTTTGAGCGGGCGGCGGCGAGATGGAGATCGAGAGACATAATTTTTCGACCAGGTTTCTTTGCCGCAGCTCGGGAATTGTAAATAATTGAATGTGACGCGATATACAAAGGCCCTCCCCCGAGATATGTGCATATAAATATAGCTTATTACAGATATAGTGTTTGCATTTATTATAAATTCTATGTAAAAGCGTGACGAGAGAGAGAGAGATTCAAGCGATCGCGACGAGGGCCGCCCATATCTTAGTTAGCGAAACACTGTTTATATAATCAGTATTAGAAATGTCTTTCTTCCTCAGTTCCAAAGAGTCCTGTAAATCACCGCGTATTTTGTTATTATTTAACTTGTCAATTTTATTCGATCGATTAATTTTGTTCTTTTTTTCTATAAATAGTGTATGATATAAACCGTATTATTACGATAGATATTCTTATTGTGCTTTGTGCTGAGCCCTTTACCGCATTGATAATCTGATATTGATCGCGGCCCTGCGAGATTGCTTCGGTTAGAGAAGTGCTTGTACTTGTATAAAAGTAGGAAAATATATTGCATAGTTTAAACTAATATGGTTTATAGCGTGTAGAGAAAAACTTGAAGTATATACACGATCAGCGGGACGACGAAAACTGATGAGCTCACTTATTTACAATTTAGCTTCGTTATCTCGCAAGCCCTATAGGTTCTTAAAAGGAAATGGGAAGACAATATTTCTCGCGCTACGAAGCGGCGAGGATCGAGCATAATTTCAATCACCTGAAATATATCGGCCCAGATATTTAGCCAAACGATCTCACGATTTCTCGTCGCTTCGCCGAGGTCGATATAGAACTTCTCATATCCAACAAGACTCGACAAGACTCAAATTGCGTAGCAAAGAGGGTTGTTTCGCACTGCCAAATAATAATAAAGGAAAAGACAACTTGCGTTCATTGTGTGGATCGACCGATCGTTAAAGCACCGCCGGTGTTCATTAATCCACATAGTTGTTCTACGAGGAAAGAAAAAGGAAAAATTCGGAATAAAAGCGGAGGAAAGAAGCGAAAAGCTTTTCCCGAAGTCCGAGCGAATGAGAGACGAATAAGAGAGAAATATCCGAGCGTCGAACAGTGCTTTGTCTTTTTTGGATATTTTCATGTACAAACACGAATGACAGTTTATAGCTCAAGAACAGAACATTAAAGAGATAGATATTGTAAGAGAATAATAATAATTTCACGGTTGCGATATCGTATTCTTGTTGTGTCTCTTTACTTACCATTCCTGAAAATGACAGATTCCTAATTTTCAGCCAAATCGAATAATCATCTTCTTACTCTTGTTTCGACCCATCGAGTCTAGATTCGATATTCGGATATTTAATCACTAAAACATTATGAATCGAAAATTTTTTTATAATCCAGATATAAAAAAATGAATAAATTAGAAGATTCCAATTAAAAATAAAATGATGTAAATATTTTAACACATGTCGAAATATGGAAAGCTATCGCGACATATTATATAAACCAGGGACCCGGACCGAATCAAAATCGGAACCGAAAACCGTTTCTCGGAACCCTTTTTTTTTAGTGAACTGAAACCGAAACCGTATCCAAATTTTGTATAGTTTATAATACCGAAACCGTAACCGAACTGATAAAATTTTATGGTTTTTTTCGGTTCTTTTTTCAGTTCTTAATTTTTAATCTTTATCCTTGTTCTTAATCTTTGTTCTGCTCGTTCCTTCATTCAAATCACCAATATTCAATCCATCCTACCATATTACCATCACCACCTCTCTTAATAACCAGAATGTAAATACCTCCAACACCTCATATGATATAAGAAATCTGGCGGGATTGCGAGA